AGTTGAAAAAGACATCACAATTAGTGAAAACCTTTGAACTCAATATAATTACTCGGGTTTTATTGGTCGGGTCTTGCTAACCCCAAGACATTGGACCTAGTCGGTTTTGTTGGTGCGGGTGGACTTCGTTGGAGGTCTCCGTGTGAGCGGGACTTGAAGCTTTCAAGTAAGATCTCATTTTGGAGCGAAGCACGCGTCAAAGGTAATTAGCTTATCTTAATCTTGTGATTAATATAATTATGTTTATGGTTTTATTTATTGCGAGTGCGGTCTTGTTTTTGGGTTTTTTTTCCGCGGTGAGTCGGACTCACCAAACCCCAACAAAGAGAACGCGAACTGTCTTGGTTGGGGCTAGGGCGGAGAATGAAATCATTAGTTCTCTACGATTAGCTTAGGTTTGTCTTTTTCAACCTTGAGCATCTTCGAACGTATTTTCCCTCTTTGAATTGAGAAAGATAAGTATTCTTTGATGCTTTAATTTACATGTGAGTCCAAATGGAGCATTTCATTACCTTGAGGCTTGATTGGTTTTGCTAAAACCTTGTCATGTTATGTTTTTTGTGTTTATCTTTTTGTTCCATTTTTCCTTGCTTAAGGACAAGCAAGAGGCAAGTGCGGGGGATTTTGACAAGTGGCATTTATGCCACTCTTTTATCCTTTTTTCTCTAAGGATTCTCCCCTCATTTGCACTTGTTTGGCCCTTTTTCTAAGAATTTTTACCTAGTTTTGTTTCCTCCTTTCGTTTCTCCTTTATCTTCCCTTTTCTTAGTCTTCTCGTCTTCTCTTTACTTTATTTCTATGCTTTTGTTTTGTAGGTATTTTGTGCCGAAAGAAAGAGGATTTCAAGGAGCCAAGCAAACTGTTCTGCGCGGGATGTTGTGCGGCTACTGCAGGAGCGCGCACCCTTGGTTGTGCGGGCGCGCAGCCCTATCAGAACCCGCGCAGCCAGGCTGAAGAAACAGAGCCAAACAAGAGAGTTTGCGCGACCTATTGTGCGGCCACTGTGCGGGCGGGCTGGATTTCCCCGTACCCTCAAAGTTGCGGCCGCGCACTATGCTGAGAGGGCGCACAATTGTACTGCGCGGGCACGTATATTTCGTGTGCGGGCGAGCACCGCTGGGTTTCTAATTTCTTTGCGCCTTGTTTCCCAAGTTTCTTTCTTTTGAGGGAGCCACATATATATAGACGGGTCTCTTTGTAATAAAGGACACTTAGTACTAATTCCATAGAATATTAGCCTAATCTAGAGAGAGAAAGTAGATTGTTATTCAAGCATCCTTTATTGTATTCAACTTGGCTCAAGTTTGAATCTTCAATCAATCAAGCAAGAATCCAAGTTTTCATCTTTCATTAATCCTTTCTTTAATAATCACTTCTCCTTTCCTTTAGTATTATTTATTTGTTTTATTGTTGCTTATTCTTGTTAATCTTATTAGTTCATTTAGTTGTTATTGATTTCATTGATTTTAATCATATTTTGTTTTGAGTTTATTTCTAGTTTTGGTATTATGTTTAATCTCCCTTCTCTAGGCTAAACTTTTAGCTAGGGGAAGGGGGTGGAAGATATGAGTTGATATTAGATGAATGATGATGGTTGGATTGAACTTATGCCATAAATTGATGAAAGACATGATTTTTAATAGCTTGAGATTTTTTTTTTTTTTTTGGAAATTAAGATTTTATTACCAAAAAGAGAAAGTTACAACTTACAAAAGCTAAGTTATAACTACAATAGCTTGAGATTGTTGTTGCACTCTATTTGATGTTTTCTAGTTTAAATGCATGAAATTGATTTGAACTAGATTAAGATCATCTCTATTTTAATGATTGCATGAGAATGAGTTATTAAAGTGGAATTTTTATGGATTGTGCTTCTTTATTCTCTTGATTTGATTGTAACTAATAGGATGCATGAGAATGATCCTTATTAGCGTAGACCTCTTTCATTAGTTTTCCTAGACTATTGCATGAGAATGAATTGTTTAGGTAGAATCTTGTGTTCTTTAGCATGTGTTTCATGATAATCACCATTATTCCCCTCTTTCTAGTCATATTGGACACCCCCGTATCCCTAGCGTCATTTTCCCTTGCTTTTAATAATCATTTTCTTGCTTATTAGTAGTTTTAGTGTTCTTACTCAACAAAACCAACAAAAACAATCCCCTTTTTACTCATGCATTAGTGATTATTGATGTTGAATTAGTGTGCTTCCCTAGTGGTTCGACCCTTTACTTGCCACTAACTAGTTTAGGGTAGGTTAAGGTATTATAAATGATTAATTTGATTAGGGTAGTAGCTTAACGACCTATCTTACCCTCGATCACCCAACTACACTATTATTGGACCCTTGCCATGGACCAAACCAAACTGGATTGGTTGTTTTCTTAAAATAGGTTTTCAAAAACAGAGAGAAAGAAAAGAAATAAAAACTAACCGCAACACTAGACTTTCCACAATTTCACTTCATTCGATTATGATTCGACGTGAAAGGTATTCATCACTGGGTTTGGTTTTAGGGAGACACAAATAAGTTTCTACAGAAGCCCCCACTTTGACAGAGTTTGGAGAAACGTAAGTTTTGAAAACAAAAGTCAAAGTAGCGATAGGGACAGGGAATGATTCAGAACATTCTGCGATCCTAACTAACTCTTGTAACGCCGATACCTGCAAACTAGCGTTAGTTTTGTTGGGGTTTGGTGAGTCCGACTCATCGTGAAAACAACCCCGACCCAAGGAACCACTCGCAATTAATAAAACCATAAAGCATAAAAAATAATCACAAAAGGGTAAAATCAGAATTTACCTTTGAAGCATGTTTCGCCCTCAAGGACGGGCTCTTACTTGAAAGCTCGAGCTCCGAAAAATACGCGAGCCTCCTACGGAAATCCACCCATAAAAACTACTAGCGACTTTTAGGTCCGTTACCTCAAGGTTAGCGAGGTCCGACCAAAACCTGAGTATTATGTGAGTTTAAGAGTTTTTGCTAATGCAATGCTCTATTGAACTCCTACTCAAGCACTCTTCCCATAAACCCATGATGGGTATTTATATACAAGAGGAAGAGTGGGAATTTCTATCCCATCAATGTGGGATCATGAAATTCCTTAATTTATTTTAAAGCTAAAATAAATTAAATAAGAAAGCAAGTAATAAATCAACAAGTGTCATCATTGTATGTAAAAGGAAGTGAGGACCACTTGGAGAGGAGGGGACCATACTTGCTCCCCACTCCTTCTTCTCCTTGTGCCACTTATCCCTAACACTTGAGGACTCCCTCACGTGCACTCCCATGGACCAAGGCCCTAGCTACCCGGCTCAGCCAAGCCCTGCACATGCGGGCTTCTTACGGCCAGCCTCTTCGGCCAGCACGCCCACGCACGCTTGTGCAGGCTGCTATTGTCGAAGGTTGTTGCTATCAAGCCTCGCACATGTGCGGGCTGATAGATGCAACGTGCCAGCAAGCCACGCATTATGTGAGGGCTGCTGGCCGTAGCTTGCTAGCAAGCCTCGCACATGGTGCGGGCTGGTAACTTGCCTAACCCCTGGCACTCGGGGTTCCGATGCTAGGGGTATTTAGGTCAATGTTGATTTATTACTAATTTTGCCGTCCCGTCTTATACTATTTTTTACTCGACTTCCGACGCTCAGTTTCGACGCTCTAAGCTCGAATTTTCGATGTCTAAATATTTAATACTCGGGCGACGAAGTAATTTCTTCCGAATTAATTCTTCGAGTCGGTTCATTTACTACTAAGGGTGTGACCCGAAGGGCTCGGTCAAGATTAAGCTGTAATATTAATTATGCATTAATATTACTGATCGGAAGCGGCCTCCACCTAGGCATTCCGATCACTTGACCTTACTGAATAAATTAGCTTTCTAATAATTCTGAACCCACTATCAGAATAATACACTTGTTTGAATGACACCATTCCTTTCAATCTCCCACTTGTACTTCCGGACAAGTGCACATTCAGTGTATAGCCCCTTTCCTATGTCTCTTCATGTCACTTCATGAATTACAGGGTAAGATTATTCGTCATCCTTGTTACGTCCAGAAGTGTTTCTCAAAATCCGAGTTTGACTGTCAATAATCAGATGATTTCTAAAATCCATCTTAGCACGGCCATGCATTTCATAGTCTCGCTCTTCGAGAGGCCTTGTAAACAACAAGACATGTTCCCTATTATTGGTAGGGGGACATTCCCACTCTTGTAATGTAGCTTCTCTTACTAAGAGGATCTAGCCGCCTGATAGCCGTCGTTATAATCCCCAATTACGACATACGTTTGACCGACATAAAAAACGGACTAGTACTCAAACAAGAGACCTCACAATACTCATGATAAAGGAAAAGAGTTCCGATAGCAATAATGAGAAATATACTTATGACGATTTCAAATCTCTTAAAGTATTCTCATAGGTCGATCAAATATAGTTCTAAACCAATACCTGTGCAAATGATTTACGTCCTCATAGCACAAGAAACGGTGCTATGAATCATACTACACACTAATCTTTAACGGTCACACTACTACAAAAAGCGTGTTTTTGTGATGCTTTTAAGCCTTATTTTCGACACAGAAAAGCGTCGTAAAAATATCTCTCGACACTTTTAAAAAGCGTCGAAAATAAGTGAGTTGAGAATTTTGTTGGACATCAAAAAGCGTCGAGAATCTCTACGCCTTTTTGTGTCTAAAGTAATATACGAAGCGTCGAAATTTGCAGTAGTTGGCGCACTTTCTCGACTTTGTCGACGCTTTTTAGTGTCTAAGACCATTAAATTGATGACGCTTTTTAATGTCTAGAGTTTCAAATAAATTGATATTCAATATTTTGGGACGCTTTTTCCGTCTATATTTTCTGTGTTGGGGACGCTTTTTCTTGTCTATAATCTTTAAAAAAATATATCTAAATATATTTACCAAAAAACATGCATCTCAATAAAAAAAAAAATTACCAAAAAACATATTTCATACCAAAAAGGTATTACTAGTACAACCAAAATATGTATATATACCAAACAAATTGGGCCAAACTTCTTTTTATTTCATATAGGTATGTTATAGTATATGTACAATCTCATAGTAATGAGTTTTCTATTACAACAGATAATATTCCAACTCATACTTAATTCGTGACTAGTTGTAGTGGAACAAATCTGCTCTTTTTCTTCTCAAAAAATCTTCAATCAATCTCCAATTTAGTTGCTCCTTAATATGTTTGCAAGAGGGCATAAAGCAAAGTTCATCATGAATGGAGGAAGAAGGGAAACTTTAGAGTGGAAGCAACTGCCCTTGAAGGTTATCTGATGCACAAAAAAAAAATATATAAATAAATAAATAAATAAAAAAAAACAGTTTAATAATCAAAAATCTTATACAGTTATACATGTTATCCTCAAATAGAAATAACTGCATCAATAAAAATTTGCCACACTTAGATACAAAGAATGAAAATAAGGACTGGGTATGTTGATTACTAACCTTGATAGGAGAGATTGTATATAATTCACATGTCAGAACGCCTAGTGACACTTCCACTTTTCCATTATTTGGAATTTTGGTGATGGTTTTAGTAGTGCATCATGTAATTCGGAGAATTATTAGTAGTCAAGCAACTACTTGAACATATCAGGAAGGTTTATTAGGGTATGCTAGACTGCTAAGTTTAAATGACAAGTTTACCAGAATTGAAAGCATAAACTGCACAATCTCCTTGCCGGGTATCACCAACAACCTTTCCAAGGAATTCGACATCATTGGGCCTGATTTGGCCTGAAATAATTCCTGGTATTGAAGCATCAAGAATATTATCTTTCAATGGCCAACTCACTACTCCTTAACAGTTAATCACTCTGGTAATGCCAGATAACTTGTTCAAATTCCATATCTTCATTAAACTATCAAGCAGCAAGAAACGAAGAGAAATCATAATAAATTAGAAGTTATTCATGCAATTTGGACTAATTTATCGGGACAAAATTTTACCTTATTCCATCCATAACAGGACCTTTGAATAAGCAGTCTCGTGTATCTGCCTCAGAATTGAAGATTGAACCATCAAACAAGCTTTTTAAGAATTTTGAATTCATGGGAAGGAAGCAATTGACCCAATATTCCTTCCTGGACATTCTCCCATGTATTCCTTGACACCACTAGCCGCATGTGAGCCTAGACCCACCTTTCCAGCAATAGTTTCTTTATAATGAAATAAAGTAAAGGATTTTAAAGCTCTCACGCACTTGTAAAACAATTTAAGAATCCTACACCAAAACAAGGTAGAGGAACAGATGCATCAATGCTTGGTATATAAATAAGAAATAGAACTTTATCAGTGGTTCTTAAAATGGCAGCCCCGCTAACAAAGTAAAAATGAGTTGTAGAAAATTTTCAATTTAAGATAAATACCTAACTTATTGGTGTATGCTTGCCTAACATAAAATGACATTTATGATATTCCAAAGTTAAAGCAAGCTATAAAAGCTCGTTCAATAATGTTCTTTTGGCCATTGACTTCAACATTACTAAAGCATTCATGCTTTAATTTTGTTAGGCAACAAAAACATAGGCAACATAGAATGCACCACTATTTCGTAAAGAGAAAAGGAAGCATTTAGATGATATTCTAGAATTTAAATAGCATCCTCGTGTAATATGGCCATCTCTATGCAAAATTGGGAACAATTTTATATCCTTAATATCGAGATTAGAGTGCTTTGACCCTCATCATCACTTGAAGAATCATCATCACTATCCTTTCTTTTTTTTTTTTTTTGTCTTTTTTATGTTGTCAAGTATTAGTTTAAAGAAAGCCTCGAATCTAGCACTAGTCTGACCATTTAGTTGTTTTGTTCTCTAATAAAGTTACTCACATTTCTAATGGAAATCATCCACAAGTTATTTTATTTAGAAATTCCTCTACCTAGCAGTCACATACAAGAAAAACAGTAGGAGGAAGAAACACAGGGGCAATAAAGAGTGCAACAAATGGAAAAAAAATTACAGAACAACCCTAAGCCAAACAGCAAAAATAAACAAATTCGAACTAAAACAGACCAGTCCAAATAAAACAGCCCAGTTAAATAGCAAATAAACTCCAAAAATTCTGAAATTTTAAAGGCATAAAGAAGACAAAAAACACACCCATATTCAAAAAAATAATCACCTAAAAAGCTTCTCTAACGAAGGAGAACGAGCCCAACGAAGTCAGCACTCACAGCAGCTCCTTCGAAAAACTAACACTGCAATTTGTGATAGAATTATGAGACGAAAAACAATGTGATTATGCTCATTCAAAAACATGAAAACAAAAGGCTAATTTTCAGAATTGAATTAAAACAGAAGCACAAAATGAAACATAACAATACAGAAACCCTAAAATCCCATTAATTACTCATGAATCTAACCCATATCTAAGCATAATTCTTGAGATTGTTGAAAAATAAAACTTAAAAAACAAATCACAAGATTCAATTTGGAAAAAATTTTGAATCCCAAAAACAAAGGATGTATCTTTATATTATCGATCGGCACTGAGAGGGCAACCATAGATTACAATCTAATTGGGTCAAGATCTAGCAATTGATTCAAAGAGAGACAAAGATCTGAATTTTGAAATGATGTACCTCAATTCGAATTTGAATATGATAAGGACAAAGATCTGAATTTGAAATTGATGTACCTCAATTCGAAATAACTTCAAAGAGGAGCAAAAATCTGAATTACAAAATGATAGTCCTCATTTTAAAATTACTGCGAGAAATACGAAGATCTGAGTTAGGAATCAACAGTTCCATAAGTGTCTTTGTAGAATTAGGATTGAAAGAGAGAAGAATAGTTAGGTTTACAATTAAGCAGGAAGACTACAGGTTTTTTTTGTTTGTGTTCGGCAGTTTCATTTTCCCTAAATTTTACAATAGTGGGTTTTACAGTCACGTGTAGGGCACATGTTACTCTTTCACGACGCTTTAAACCGCCGAAAATTAATTTCGTCCCAGAAAAGCGTCGAGATAATGGGCATATTATATTTAATAGTTGTCTCTCCTTGTCTAGCGTCGAGAAAATACTCTTTTTGTAGTAGTGTCATTAATCGTCCACAAAATAAATGACCTTGATTAGGGATAATTTTCGATTAAAATATTCAATGTTCACATAATAGGTGTTTATTTATCGAAGACATTGTCTTGATATCCTATTTTGAATATTCTTTAAAATCGAATGGACTCATTATTTAATTTTAAACCACAATTAAATAGTTTTATGAAATATTTAGAAAAATTTATTCCACTATGAAACTTCACAATGTTTTATTTTATGATAAATGGTTTTCCCAAATGTTTTAAGAGCAGTACTCTTCATAAAACATTTATAGAAATCACACCCATATCTAATATGCTTGATTTCTTTCACGCAATTTGTGAATGTTGTCGTTCACTTATTGCATAGGTTTAGTTATAATTACTTTGCAAATCTTAGCATCTTCATTATCGACCATTTCCATAATAAGATGATAAAATTTTGAGAGTGTTAATGAATTACATGTGATTTAGGATTTATTGTCCAAGCAATGGCTCCCACTCATTTTCATGATTGGCGACCTTCAGCTTGACAACCTACAATCATCAACGTTCAACAACGAACTTTCATTTAACATCTTCTTTACTATTGCCTTTTAAGGCAACAATTCTCATCATATACTTTAGTAGACTTCTTGATGATGCCTTGCTTGGGTTTCACTCCCAACGGCTCACAATGATTTGAAATACCCTAATCACTTGTGATCATGGAAGTTTACCTTAAATTTTTGCACATTATACATGGATGCACATCCATGTTACAATTTCTCAAGCCACGACGCTTCTTACCACGTGCTTACAAATGGCTTCCTAATTAAGGATTTCATCCTTATTTAAGGTTTGTGCTTGCATCATCAATGCTCAAATTATATTTGTTTCCATGCGTCAAGAACTCATCCTCTAACTCATCCAAGTGTTTTGGATGTTCTTGACTATAATCTAATACTTAGATTCAAGTTGATTGGTACTATATACGTACTTCACATGCACTAAGAAAGTAAGTTGTGTGACGATAGCATATCATAGCTTTACATGATGGATTTAATTGTAGAATGTTTCTAAATTTTTATCCCATCAATTTGGCATTTTAGCTCATGCAGTTTCACTGAGCCTTTGCTAAATTGTTCGCTATGTGATATGGTTGAAAGCCTCTTACTAGATTCTTTCTTGTTTGACTTAGTATTTAGCCTAGCTTATACTTAGTTCAAACATTTACTTAGTTTTATACATATGGGTCAAAAGCCTTTCAAAGTCCTTTATGTTTAATATGGTAAATTCCTTTACTGGTTTAAACATTTAATTAAGTCTATACCATAGTACTTAATTCCCAATATGTATACTAAGTATCGCCTTTAGCTTGGTCCATTGTCAAAATACTTTCAAATCTAAATATTTAGCATTTGATAGTTGTTTCACAATAGAGTTCATAAACTTCTCGTTTGACCTTTGCTTTTGCTCCCACTAAACTTCTTATTCATCAGAATTTCTATATTTCTCCATAAGCCAATCCTCTTATTAACTTTATGAGAAAACACGTTCCAATTCCTATATGCAATGCTTCCTTTAATCCCATGACAGATTCCTTGAGCTTGCTTTCAAATCTAGCATTATTTAGATTTTCAAAACCCTTAGACTATTCCATAGTCACTTCCAAAATCACTTCCAAAATCCTATTTTGGGAAGGCAGTTTTGGTATCTATTTTGTCATATTTCATATGTGCAATTTTGCTAGATCAATCACGAAAAGACTTAAGCATTCCGATTGGTGAATAGGTTTTTTATTAAAATCAACTCCGTGAATTTAATTGTATCCTATACATCTAATCTAGCTATGTATGCATATACATTTCCACATTTGTTAGTTTTCTCCTTGAAAACTTATTTGCAATCGATGGGTCTTTCACCCTTCATGCAAATTAATCAAGTTTCAAACATGATTTTCAAACATGGGGTCTGTTTCGGATTTTCATGGCCTCTAACCATTATTCGGAATTTGGATTTGTCGTAGCTATCTTACAAGGAATTATTCCTTTATTATCTAATAGTAAATAGTATGCTTGTAAGTCTTAGGTTTATTTCTAACTTAATAGAAAATTTACAGGATTCAACCCAAACCTTTGGTGAATTCTATACCTATACAAGGCAATTGCATCAACCACTGAGTTTCAAGGCGCTTCCAAAGCCCTTTTATTATGTTGATCTTACTCCAACATTTCTGATGTTTTGTGAATAATGAATTCTCTTTTAAGGCACTTGTAAAGTCTTTTTTAGTATTCTTGATCAAGCATTCTCATGAAGTCCTTTTAAGGTCTTCCGACATTCTCAGTTTTAGTTTGTTGCTAAGCTCGATTGTCATTTAGTTCATTTTCCTCCCACTTGTCATTTTGGAAATGTGTTACTTTCCAGAAAGACACCACTTAGAGTAACAAACACTATGTTCTCAATTAGGTTATGGAGGTAATGCCCGTGGTCTCACTTAAATGCTTACAAAGAGACATGTATATTGTCTTCGGGTAAAAGTTCATTGTAAAACAAACAGTTAGCTCCCACTTGAGCTATCTTAGCCTTTAATGAGCCATTAAGCTCCCACTCAACCACCTATCTCTTGATAAGTCGGTGAGCTCCCACTGAGTCACTTAGCTCCCACTAAGCCAGTGAACTTCCACTATGGCTAAGAGTTTTAGACATATACTTGAAAAGACATCTAGAAGATAATTCTATCCATAACTGAATACGACGTCCTTTCTTAGCTTCAACATTTTGTTTAGTGTAACATTAGTCCTTCGTGCAAATCTTAAGAACTTTATAGGAAGGGATGTGATCCATCATTGTTCGAGTCATTTTTAAATGGCATCGAGGTCTTTCACTATGTTCTTTGTGGAGTTATTTATGAAAATTTCAGTTTCAGAACTTTTTGATGGTCATGCTTGGCTCAAGCAAACATTGCTCGATCTAATCTAGACGTTTTGATATCGTTCTAAGTCGATTTTGTAATTCACTGAACTCATGAGCTACTCATGTCAAGTTTGTTCACATTTGATGAGTATAGTCATATCCTTTCAAATTCTTTGTGAAACATTGAAGTAATTGAATCCTCTTTAGCCTTTGGAGTCAATTGTCTATACTAAGAACAATAGCTCTTTGCTTTTTCGGTTTTAAAAAGTAAGACTTGCTTGTCTTAGAACGATTTCGAATCGAGCAACTATCAAGAGCTTATCTAATAGAGCCTTGAGTACGTTCTTGTCTGTGACATTTCTAAAGATGTTCCGAACCCAAATCATGCCCATGACTTGAACTTAGTGAGTTTACCATGTTAGGGAAATGTTTGTTTATAATCAAGCATTCTTGACTCAACGCTTGGATAACCATGCCATCTAAATAAATTCGCAACTATTGCTCCTTTACTTTGAATGTGAGTCTTTCCGTGTGTGAACGGATCATTTGCTGATTATGGAACATAATAATAACCATTATTCGTTCCAACCTTTATTCTTAAAAGGTCTTTAAACAAAGCATACGATCTTACAACTTATGTAGCTCTTGTTGCTTCATTCTAAGCTTGTAAGTCGATAACTTAGCTTAACTTCAATAGTTTGAGGTCAGTTTAAAAGTGGAACACTCAATCAGTATCCGATACTTGTGAAGATAACGAGTTGCTAAGTTAACTACAATAACATGAACTCATGTGTTGAAATGGAATCTTATTTCTTTTCTTCGTTCCTTGTTTCCTATATTTCTTATCATACAATATCTCATGACCTTACTTTAAGAACCATTTCTTTAAGTACCTTGACTTTTATACTTTGTTAGGCATAATTAAGCATCTAATGCACCGTAAAGCAAAGTTCCATCTTTTCCTTTAATTCACACTTGAATTACTACATCGATGAGTCCTACTCATTTATGTATGAAGCAAAAAGATATGTTGGTTGTCAAATATTCACAATTTGAGTTTGGAACTCAATACTTCATGTTTTATCAAAACTACCTAGTATTTTGAATACATGATGTCCAACCGTCCTTTCGGACTTTGTTATAAAAGTCATTTATGAGAATTGTATTTTAGAAATGCTTTTCCTTTCTCTGAGAACTATCCTCAAAGATTTCCTTTACCAATCATGGAAACAATATTATAAATACTATAATATAAGTGCAAAGTATAACCATTTATCAAGAATATAATAAGTTTGAAATTTAAGAGCATTCATGCAAGCTTCAATCTTATTAAACGTCTTATCCACGCATTAAATTTGTCCCTATTTGGCGAGAATAAGTCGATTCCAAGATCCAAAGAAACAAAGAGTGGTTAAGCATGATTTGGCTTGTCTTAACACTCAATCTTCTAAGGTAAGCAACTCTTTGCTAATGGCTCCAAGCCACCCTTGGTTAGATTATCGTCGCATCTAATGCTCTCATGACAATTTATCTCTTTAGCCTCGACATGTATGGACAACATCACTCATATCGTTGAGTACAACCAAAACCAACATGCACACCCGGTGTGCCTTACAATCCTTGGAGTAGTGATTGTACCTCGCTTTGGCGTAGCCCACCATCACACTCATTCGGTGTGCAAGTGTTGTTTTGGAAAGGCAAGTTTTACTCAATATTATTAATTAGGGACATAGGTTTTCTATGTTGGTTGATTTAAGTGAACTTAATTAATCATCACAACATAAAGAAAGCCTAAACATGAATCTAACATATCATTCATATATAATCACTAGCATAAATATAAAGCATAAGTATAAGATGCATATTGGCAACTAGCATGACCCCTTGAAATCTTCAAGTCTTCAAAAGGTCTTCACTTGCA